CTTGCTCTCCACTTTTCTAATACAGGTATTTATTTATATAGGGGGCGGGGTCGCCGTGCGAGCTAAAGCATGCGCACAGCACCGCCGTTGACCGTCAACTTGATATATGAGATAATTATATTAGTATGAATTGTCCTCATTTAAATATCATCTCTACCAATTCCTTCTCACATCCCAAAATGACGTTATACAATCAAATAAATATTGCTAAACAGATTTTGACTGAGGTGAATGGTTGTTAAAATTGATTGAGTTTTAATTTTAAAAATCAACCCATGCTTATTTTGTTGTGTTCTCTTTTCATTTGAATAATGTTTTTTTAATTTTGTTTTTTCTCAAAATGGTGTTATTTTTACTTGTTTTAATATAATTTCATTGAAGATACTGCATATATTCTTTAATATTGACTAATGTAATTTTTGGCAAGATGCAGTTTTTTTTTTTTTTTTTTTAGTGCATTCATTCATATCTGTTATTCATAAGGGACCTTGTCCCAGAATAAAGTTTACTTTCTATCTATCAATCTATCTATCTAGTATGAGTATATATGATAATTATATGAGTATAAATAATTACAAATTCGCCTCCCGGTGCCAAGGGGATCTGTTAACTCTGGTATTAATCCCCCGTTCTTACCCACTGGTCCGGGAAAATCCCCGTATAACCTAAAAATCGAGGGAGGACAAAAAAAAAAAAAGTATTTATTTATGTTTTTATCTAAGAAATGAAGCGACCAGTTTAAAAATCCACTACTTATACCGGGTGTTTCGTAATTTCACGCCACTATTTTAGGTTTGTGTTCACTAACACAAAAAGATCATATTGACATATATCTCAAACCCATTTATTAAACAGATATCAAAAGTTAAAGATTTATTATTTATTATTGTTACAACATTTAGAGTAACTGTTCAAAGGAGCCCCCGTTTTGTTAAATACAACATTCAGCAGGATGAACCCATGCTTCTCTGGCTCTTCGTATAGCATCAGGATGGTGCTTAATAGTTACTGCGGCTTCCACGATCCGATTTCTTAGCTCTTCTTGTGTTCCAACTGCCGCAGAATAAACCATAGACTTCATCCAGCCCAACATCAAATAATCTAAAATTGGAGATCGTGGTGGCCATTTAACAGGTCCGTTTCGACTATCGGTCTCCATAAGATTCATCTAAATAATCAGTGACACTATTAGAAAAAAGATAGCTGGAGCACCATCATGCACTAGATATTAGACAAAGGCTGTGGTTGTCTAATACCTAGTGGAATTTCTTCAAGGAGCTCATGAAGATTATTTTGCAAAAAATACAAGTGATATACCTGACAGCCTAGGTGGCAAAAAAAAAAAAGGGGCCGATGATATTGTCGCTTAGAAGACCACACCAGACATTTAAAGAAAAGGTATGTTGGTAATGTCCTGCGGCATTCGTATGTGAGTTTTCATGAGCTCAAGTATGGGTATTTCGAAAATTAAGAATCCCGTTTCTTGTGAAGCAAGATTCATCAGTAATCAAAATGCAGTTCAGGATGTTAGGATTTCGTGTGCATTGTCGAATTAACCACTGGGAGAAATTTCTGAGCTCGTTATAAATCTAGCCTACTTGATAGGTGAAATGGATACAATTGTTGTTCACGTAAAGTTCGCCATGCGCTGGTTCGTATGGTTGGTCGACCAGCGTTAATTCGTATAGGTTCTAGCGTTCCATTATCCCTAAGGCGTCTTTCAATGGCCTTAAACGTTTTACGATTTGTTATTCTTCGGTAGGAAATTTTTCAGGATATCTTCAAACAGCAACAGCACCGTTTATATGAATCTCGCCATAAGATAAAAGCATGTCTATTTGTTCTGCAAAAGCAAATAAATTTATAGTGTATCCCATGATAATCATAAATTGAACTGTGTCACAGTATTCACTCACACTAAAACACAGAGAACTAGACAAACAGATGGGCAACTACTGTCATTGCTTATCGTTCATATGTTTATCAGGTGAATAAAATCTATTATTTAGTATCAAGCACGTTAAAATTTGTACAGTCAGTCTTAATGTAGTAAATAAATAATAAATTTTTAACAGTTGATATCTGTTTAATAAATGAGTTTGAGATATATGTTAATATGAACTTTTTGTTCATTTTGTGTTAGTAAACGCATGCCTAAAATAGTGACGTGCAATTACGAAACACTCTGTATATTTAATATAACTAAAAATACTACTAGATTGAGTCAATATTGTATTTCCTTTTCAAAAGTACCATTTTACCAATTTACTCATTTAAAATTAATGTGGCCATACAGGAAAAAGGCTAAAAATCAAATTAGAAAAGGATATATTGGGAATTTAAACATCATAAATAAATATTTGGACTTTTAATTGAGGATGCTGAAGTGAGTACGATTAATTATTATTTAATGATTGCCAGCAGGGATATTACATGAATACGTTCGGAATGAATATCATGACTTTTTGAATTTAAAACTTCTTTAGGGGCTTTTTGTAGTTTTTTGTGTAAAGTGAAATAGATCGAGCCGTCCGAAGTGTAATGCTTGAGTAAATTAGGCTGAAGACGACTAATTGAATTGTTTTTTCCTATGGATTAAAATAATCAAAAACTAAAAGTCGGATCTGCATACTGTTAGCGAGGGAATTGTTCATCATTTCATCTTCGTTCAAAATTGTATCACTACGCGACGCCGTGTTAAGGATGCGAATAGAAAAAATAGTGCTGAAAACGAAAATATAGCGAGTTTTATTGAAGATCTGGATTAAAAATATCCCAAGAACTAAAAATCGATGCTCTGCTACAACAGTTACTCTGCTATAAGCGAGGGAAATGTTCAAAATTTCATCCTTTTAATAATGAAATATTATTCTATAATTTATATTTCATTTTATTAATTTCACCTTGTTGATGATTTCTCTTTTATCGTGAGGTCCAAAGCACATACCTTAGTTTTCCTAGGCTAGGGGTCAGGGAAGAGGGCGAGGGATTGATTTCAGAATTCAAAGCCCCCTGACACTGGGACTAGAACCCGTGATCATTAGTTTAAAAAAGTGTTTAAAAAAAAAAAAAGATACCTGTACCACTACAATCATGAAGGCTCTTGGTTTCAGTACTATTTAGAGAAAGTACTGTTTCAAGGTCAACGGTTGTGTAGGGAGAGGATTGGGCCACGATCACGCTCAACCACCAAGTTTTCTCCCTTAATCAATTATTTTAATTAAAGGTACCTACTTTATTGAGGCTAGGTGTGCCCCGGAGGGTTTCCTTACCCTAGGGTCGCCCCACGGCCAATGAACCAGAATAAACAATTTTTCTGCCATCAGCTGGGATTCAAAACTGAGACATTGATCATTGGAAACTTAGTACCACTGAGTTACCTCTCTCCTAATTAATTATAAGTTTATTATAAAAAAAAAAAAACGTTGATCCGCTTGGCCCACAACTAAATATTTTGAGTTAACTAGCCGAAGAAATTTGATGGAATCGTCAGCTACATTCTTCTTATCCCTACTGTTTCTACAACTTGGTGGACCTCTAGACTGAATCCTCGTTTTCCTCGTTATTCAAGCCTCCAGTTCTTCCTTTTTTTCTTGGTACTGGTTTGAAGCTGCACTTAGAAAAACCTTCCATTGACTTTTCCGAAGCACCCTTTCTTCACTCAATGCACTTCTCCAAATGTCACTCCAGATTTCTTGTTCATTTTAAAAAAAATATTTACATAAACATTTTCTTTTTTCTGATCTTTCTTATTAGTCAAAATTCGTTCCAACATGGGTCCGTCCATCCCTTCTCTCTCTCCTGCAGAATTTTGAAAAGTTCACTAGCTGTTTTTGATGTTTGAGATAGTCTAAGTGTATATTTATAACTGCCTAAGCGGATTGTCTGCAAGTTATCGGATGCAGGTACTTGTGCCCAATCCAAAGTTTACCTAGCATTCATATTATATTCATTATTAAAATAGATTTATTGCAGCCAGAGAGACAAATTAACAAATCTGATTGCTTAAAATTGAAGAGTGAGCCCTGGAGTCGCGACTGAACTGTCGGCATCTTATTGCTCACCCCTTTGTAATATATATATATATATATATATATATATATATATATATATATATATATATATATATATATATATATATACATATATATATTACAATTACTATAAAGAAAGGTGTGAGGCTTACGAAAACCACGTTAAGGCCAAGCAATGAAGCACCACCCATAAACATCAATTTTTCTGCAATACAGTTAGGAATTCCGATAGCTATTGTTAACATATCGTTTGCAGTCTCTATGCCCCCATAGGGTAACAACTAATTTAGGATATTTGAGTCAACTTAAGAGGAGAATGTTTTTCCATCGGTCAACTATAAGTTGCCTATTCTAGATTGGCTTGCCAAGAAAACTAATATATGCGAACTTTTTTTTTAATAGCGTGGTTTAATATATACAATCCAACATTGTGACTACAGCTATTAAACAGAAAACACTAGGATGCCCAACCAACAGAGGGTACATCAAACTTGTAAGGAAAACAAATTTTTGCTTTATCAAACTGAAGACACTCAGATATCAAAGTGATGAACAAGAAGAACTTACATGATGGGTCTTCTGCAGTTTACCTAACTTTGATTTTTTTCCCCAAACAAACGGTATTTTTGTTCGTTTAATCGTTCAATAACAAAAAAAAAATCCATACCGATTATTCTTTTTGTGACATTAACTTGAATGACAAAAGCCTTGGTAGTACAAAATCTGGATTCAACACTTTGATAGATATCCCAGGCATTTAGTATTGTTTGGATCACTTTTGAGTGGACCTCTGCAGGGTAAAATATTCTGTACAATTTTGGAGAGAAAAATTGTCGTAAGTTCTCTTTTAAAATAAATAAATAAACACCGACTTTTTTTTCAAGGATATATTCACTGCAAAATAACAAAACATAGACAAAATCTTCATCACAACACTGACGACATCAACAGCATCCAATATGTTTTTCACTCTTTATCAAATGTGAACCACTCCGGAGGGGCGAACTCGGAGGGGAAGGCGGGTGGTGGCAGCCTGAGACTCAACGTTGGCAGCGCCAGGAAGTAGAAGGATGGCGGGAACAGAGGCTGGAGGCAGTTGATGGAAAAACTGACCTGAGGAGGTAGCGTCAGTTGGAGGGTGACGTATTGGCCGATGGCGAAGGAGAAGCCCAAGGTGAGCGGGTAGCCGAAGGAGAGGAAGGCGGTGACGTCTTCGTCCATCTCGATGGTGTAGAAGCAGGAGACGTTAGGCCGCAGCGGCATGAGGGTGAGGGCAAAGGCCACCTGGAACCTGGTCCACTGGAGGACCACCCCCAGCGCCATCAGCAGCGTCGTCAACTCCATCTCACTGCCTCTCCTGTGCATATTTACACTTCTTAGTACTCACTTTCCACTAAACTTACCTAAACCTAACAATATATTTATCTCAGGCCAAAACATAGTATTCCAATGAAAGGGGAGGAGGGAGAGGGGGAGGCGGAGGGCGTTTAATGTCATGTTGAGTAGAAAATGAACTTGTTAATTATTTTTTGGTTTTATTTATCGCATCAAGGTAAACAAATCTAAATGTAAACACATAACCTTCACCCTTCGGCGTAATACCTGCCCACCAGTTTATTTTAACTCCATTCAGTTTCCTTTCTCAGACACAGTCCGGTATCTTAGCTTTCTCTTATTCAGACGACTAACATGGAATCCACATACTAGACTTAAAAGACAGGAACTTAACAGACGATATGACCACCTAGATAGACTACTGAATAGAAAATCTAAACTTTCTGGAGAAATCAAATTACTGATCCACAAGAAAATACTGAAACCCATCTGGACTAGTTTTGTTATGAATTACGGACTAGAACTGTGGGGAACAGCTAAATTTTCTAACATCAAACGCATTCAATCCTTTCAGTCTAAAGTCCTCCGTACAATAGTCGATGCTCTCTTCTATGAAACCAATAAAACCCTGACCTTAATGTTCCATTTATTATTGATCTTATCCCAGCCAAATTTTTCAAATTCCACCACAACCTTTCTCATCACCCAAATCCCGTTGTACAATCCCTATCAAGCACCACCCATCCCTACAATCCTCTTCGTAGGTTAAAGCAGCCGTGGCCACGAGACCTTTTCTAAATATGGATATTTTGGAGTTCTAGCAATGGCCAGATTCTCCACTCAAGTCATGAGTGTCTGTGGCTGTAGCACTCATACTCATCCTCCGCTGGTTTTAAATACCAGTGAAGTGGCTGAGGGAGAAGCGCAGGAATCTCCTAAGCCTCGCTTTTTCCTCCACACGTTCCACACATCGAAATTGTGAAATTTAGCTTTCTAGCTTTAAAAAAAAGAAATTTAAAGTTGAGTAAAAAATATGTTGTTGTTTTTTTTGTCCATTTCTGGAAGATGTTTTTTTTATGTTAAATATAATCAGAAAGTGAATAAAATCGAAAGGAAAATTGACTTTTCTAACCTGTTTAATTGTTTTCCTGTTCTCGGGTTCCAATCAAAGTTGGTTAAACGTTTTGCGTTAGTAATTCCACGAATCTATTTGAACAATTCATGTTCATTTTTGTTCCTATTCAAACTTACTTCATTTGGTTAATGTTCTCAAATTTCAATTCAAAGTAGAATTACAAGCTATTTATTTATTTTTTTTTTTATCTTAGGCCATTTTGAAGAAAATTTGGATTGTATTTACTGGAGTGTTCTTGTGCTCCTTGGCCTCGTAGCAAAGAATTAAAATGCGTCATTATAAAATAAAAATAAGTACCACCGTATGAGAGGATCCGAACAAGAAAAGTTGATCGAAAACATTTTGGAACAATTTTCTTCAAACACTGTTAAGGCATCGATGCAAAGGATCATGATGGATGGTCGGCATTGAAACTTTTAAAACACAACATGAGCCGAGGCAATATAACTTGATAATACCTATGGCACTACTTTCCTAAACGGGGATTTATAATGGCACCGTAACTAGCAACTTTAAATATTATAAAATATTCTACTTTAAATATTATTTAAAGGAACAGTATCTTTATGAAATCACCCACCAAATACAATATAAATAGTTTAATATAAAATTTACTCAGTTAGTGATAAATGGCAATGTGTTGAATTGGCCTTATTGAAAAGAAACTAGAGAAACTTAAGGTAGCTACATTATTTATGTATTGTCTTCCAAAAAACCTTGAAAGCATTATATATGCCTTGATGTACGTGCCCTGGATTGTATAAACAATTTACAAATGGACGGTGAACAACGACTCAAAAATATCTAATCTCATGGTTGCAAGGAAAGGTATATAGACATTGTCACACTGTCTTAAGTGAAAAAAATCTAGATGACACTTTAACTTATGAAAAGTAAACAAAATATTAACATGCGTCAAAATGAATAATGGTGACACCTTCCTTCGACATTATAGTAACCAAATGACAGAAATATCGTTGATGATTATTTTTTTATTATTTATTTTATTTTTTATTTAATAAAGTTAAGTAAATTAAAAATCTACTTCTCTTTAAGTTATTTTATTTTTTTTATCGCAAATAAGTCCGTTCGGTTTTCAGTGTGAAATAAAACTCAATGTAATATAGACATAAAATACATTTTAATCTACAATATATTGACCATTATTTAATATGCGTTTTTGCTCATCTTTTCACAAACTGCATAATGTCACGTTCATATAATGTCTGCAGTTTAATGTTAAAAACTGATCCAAGCGGTTTTTGATGTCGTCTTCCTTTTAATTTTTTTTTCCATTCATGGAGTTCTGCAGAGACCGGTATAAGTGGTAGTCACTTGGAGCTAGGTCTGGTGAATAGGAAGCGTGGGATAAAAGGTCCCATCCAAGGCTCAATAATTTATTGCGAGTCTTGGTGAAACACTACACCTTTCCGATCATTCATAACTTCAGGAATGCTCTCCAAATTCGATGTTACTGTGTCCATAAGAAAGCTGGATTATTGCTCTTCAAATGCGTATGGTTTTCTTATTTAATGCCTACATAAGGAGTAAATAAACAAAAATTCCTTTATTTTTTATCTGCATTTATAGTTTGTTTACGTAAGCCCTATTGATGTCATTTTGTGTAGTTTATGTGACTTTTCTTCTAAATTTCTTGTAGATCGCTAAAGTCGTATTGAATTTATAATATTTTTTGTGATTTTCAAAAGTCATTTGAGGGACCCAAACATTAAGTCAGGAAACATAGCCGTGCTCGTGCAAATATTTTTCTACGCTTCTGCAGCACACTTACAGTTTTTAAAATAATATAACAAAGTATTCCGATAATAAATGATATTTTCTTTCATATTCACAGTAATAGCAAACACAATACTAAGCTAGTTTCAATAAGAGTTAACGAATATAGTTGTTGACATATTACAAACAAGACAAATAATCCCCCTGAGAGATTAATTCAACAGATAAGAAGTGTATGATAGTGACATAAAAGTTAACAGAAAGGACTTATTAACCTATTCAATACTTTACATACTTTTTTATTATTATTTAGTTGTTATTACTTTCACCTACCTATATATAAAATATATATTGAAGGAAAGTATTGCGATCGTGAAAATTTTCGAATTTCACTTTTCAACGGAAATACACATTTTGAGGTTCCCGGAGTCCAAATAACCAAGTCACACAAAATGGTGTGTATGACTGTGTGTGTGTTAAAAAGTCTAGCTCAAAAATGAAAAGTTGTACGAAAGTTAAATAGCATATTTAAGGTTTTTATATGCCTGAAATATTACAGCAACTTTTCCGTCAAAATCGCCTAACCGGAAGTGGCACTTTATATCATCGATTTAATACATTTTTACTAATTTCTGAAAAACGGCTCTATCTATTTTGATTAAATTCATTATATCAGGGTAAAATTAAGCAGTTTTTAATATAATGTAGTTTTTATTTTCATTTATGATCTATAGCAGGACTTAAATGGCTAATTTTTAATATTAGCTCTCCCTGAAGTACCTTTATTTTATTTTTTTAAACAATTAACCATTTCACATTCATATAAAAAATCGTTTATATAAAAAATAGATAAATATAACATATGAGAGAATTGGTCATTAAATAAAGAAAAATAAGAGATTGAAAACGGATAATATTCGTAATGCAGGAAACAAATGAATGATCACCACACGTGCTGGCCCAAAAGAATAGAACAGGCTTCCATACGTAACATGAGCTTAATATAATACGAACTCCGAGAATGTTATGTTATGCGGTTTCATAAATGCTATCGTTGATATTATTTAATATTTAATTGTATAGATTAAAGCGATATAAATATTAAAATTTGTATGTATACTTATTGTATAATTACTTAAACAAATAAAAATACCCACAATGAAATATAAATAAATATAGGGTCTATAATTTTTACTTTCACTTTCACTTTGTCTGAAAATATTTATTTATGCTAAGAAGAGTAAATGAAACTTGTGTGGTGCGTGCACCAGATTCTTTTTCTTTTCGCTTATTTTATGTTTTCTATATACTTAGTTCTGTCATAAATATTGTTACAAGGAACGTATACCGATTTTTTTTTAACTTTATTTTTTTTTTAATCTTACTAATAATATTTTATTGAAAAAAAAATTCATTCTGCCTCAATTAAGGGCATTGAGAATTTAGAATGTATGAACACAAATATAACATATATAAAATAAAAGAAAAAGAATAAATCAAACATGACACAACATTTTAAACTTTATTAGAAAATAAAATATATATCGATAGAGAGTAAAACAAAAAAGAAATTACTCAACATGTCCTTTTTTCTTGACACTGTCACTTAATCTCCGTGGCCAGTCATCAATAGCAGCACACAGGACTTCTTGAGGAAAGCGCTCAACTGCGTGTACCACAGATTGTTTGAGACTTTCCAAGTTAGGGTGTGCTCTGTGACATCCTCTCCAGTTCAGACCAAAGCCAATAATCTTGTGGGTTGAGATCGATGCCAATCCGAGGCACAGATGAACTCTGGAATGTTCTTTTTCAGCCACTGCTGATTTGAACTGGCCTTGTAAGCTGGAGTGAAATCCTGCTGGAAAACCTAATGACTTCCAGCAAACAGAGTATCATTTAGAGGCTTTACAACTGGTTCAAAAATATCGTCCTGATAGTTTTTAGCGTCTGTTTCAGCTCCTTTTTCACAAAAATGGAGCTTTACGGTGCCATCAAAGCAAACTCGATTATGGACCCATAATAAAATTACCCATTATAATATAAATCCACCAATCCTAAGGTCACTTTTTATTATGTGAGACATTGATCTGACAAAAATTTCCATTTCCCGAGACATGATTTGTTGTTTTCGAATGGG